TCAAGGACAGCTGTGCCAGAGCTTGTGACTGACCCAAGGTCACATCAGCAGGTGCAAGTGGAGGAGTGGGGAATCAAACCCGGTTCTCCCAGATTAGAGTCTGCACACTTAACCACTACACCAAACTGGGCCCAGGATGAGGCTTCTCTATCCCCCCCCCCCCCCGCTTTTAAGCATTTGAAACGTGGAATTTCTCAGAAGCACAGATTAAAAAACACTACTCTCATACTGGACTCCATTTCCCAGCAGCTACCTCCAGTAACCCCACTGGCCACCAGCTGCCACCATTCTGCCAGGAGTTTGAAGCACTGATTCCCATAAGTGTTTATGTGCGTGCTTGGAAGACAAATTATTTTTAAAAAACTGCCCAACTGCCCCACTCCCTGGCTGCTTTTTTGATTGATCAAGGACAGGGTGAATGCACAGTGAGGAGGATTAAGGGGGTGAGAGTCTGATCAAAACTCTCCATTACAAAAAAAAAAACCAACCCTGAATCAATTAGAACTGGGGTCGCACTGGATCAAACTGCCCATCTGACCACAGACAGCTATATAAGCAATTTCATTTCAGGTGTCCCCAATTCTTGATAGCTAACATTTGAAGGAAACAGTTTAGGATACAAATGGGCAATACTGATCTTTGCATTCTCAGAAATATAGCAAGGATGCATCTAGCTCATGGTCCCAACAGTTTATTTAGAACTGCCTCCAAAGTTTCCAGATTATACCCCTAGATATCAGCTCCAGGTATATGGATAGATCTCACTCTCACAAATCTTAAGGATGGGAAATTTTTCCTGAAATTTTTCCTAATATAATGTGTATGTCTTTTTAATTTCTCTACATAATTCATTTCAACTTCATTAGACAACACAAAATCACAAACAAGGGTTTTTAAAGTCTATTCAAAGGGCAATACTACCCTCACACAACTTACCTTAATACATTTTCCAAAACTAGCCTTAATGTTTTTTAGTAATCAGCTCTGTAGGCTTCTTGCTCTTTTCCTTTTACAAATTAAACACTCAAGTAGAATGCCAATCCATACTGAACTAGTTTATGACAACTTTTACAAAAATTAAATAAAAATTGAATTAAAAGATGTCGGAGCATCACTTTCAGAGTATTAACAGCTCAACTGTAATACCTCAGAGACACACATGTATTTTATTCCTGCACTTTTAACGTATTTGTATACTATACAAGATGCAAGATAGTCCTTAATGTCATGCTATTAACTGTCTACTTGTATAACTTTGCTAATAAGGTAAAAAATTACTTGTTCTGAGAGGAAAGGTTTTTGATATGGTCAGATTTTGACCTGGTTAAAAGAACAAAACATAACTACTTTCAGGCAGCAACTGAAGTTTAATATAACATCTGTTTTTCCAGATTTTACTTCCTGCCTGATGGGGGATGGAAGAAAGAACAGGAAAATATCCTTTTGACAACAGATGAATCAACCAGAAGAATACTAAGCAGACATCAGCTGATGTCCAACTGTTTTTACAACCACTAGCAATAGTACTACTATATTTTCCACTTGAAGAGAAGTGTCACAATTGTAAAAAACAGTCTACTAGATGTATGCAAAGAACTACTGTATTGAAGAAAATAGTGACATGAAGTACTTCATGCCCCTTCTACTTGTGTACCATAGAAATTAAGACCATTAAACTAGCACATCAACATATGCAATCAATGGGGGGAGGGGGGACAAAACAGTTAAAACACACAGAACTGAGACATAGAAGTTTAAATGAAAAGATCACAAGACTAGTCCAGTTTAATTAAACAGAATACCAAATATAAAGCCCTCAATTCTAGATGGTAATACAAATGCAGAACAAAAAGGTAGTAGCATTGTTTGCTTGGAGACACTGCATGTCAATGAAATTTTATTCATATATGCCGTATCTTCACAGTTAATATATATCATTTTTCAAAGACAACATACAGAGAAATGTTACAGTCCAGAACTCATTAAAGAAAAACTTCTAGAATTAACCCCAAAGTCGTTCACATTTCTAAACTACAAGTTAAACAGACAAAAACGGTCTATTCTCTCTGTAGCAGCGTGATCTCTAGAACCGTGGGTTGATCATATGCAGTCTCCACCTCCCTCCTCCACTGCAGCCCAAAATGCTCCCTCAAATACTCCTCCTGGGGGTACAAAGAACTCCCAGAAATAGCATGGGGGGATCAGAGGTTTGCTGTGGAAGAGTAATTTGCAAAAATTCCTCCTCCCTGTCAGTGGAAATTAACTCATTGGACTAAGCAATCCTCTTAATATTTTTAGGCTTATGTCAAATACTACCAATAAGCAGGAAACAGTGGCTAGCACATGCAGAAGAGCTGACATGTATACTTATCCTAATTCCAACCAAGAAAAAAGACATGTTACTATAATAATTTTAGTCCGCAACTGAAACAGTTCAAGAATGTGTCTTACCACAATTGCATGAGGAGAGTGCACTAAAGGCTTGAGTTCATTCAGGTCGTTCTCAGCCTACAAGAAGAAGTTTTTTAAAAGAGAAAGAAAAGGGTAAGCCAAGAATCATGAAACAATATATACAAGTCTGTAGCCCAAGCCTATGCATGTTTACTCAGAAGCAAGTCCCATAGAGTTCAGCTGTACTTATTCCCTAGTAAGTGTACATATAATCGCAGTCTCAGGTGTAGTTATATGGCCCCATTACCTTATCCCACTCTCCTTCCATGACATGATTGCGGAACTTGGTAGCAGAAGGATGCTCTAAACGACATCCTGATTCTTGCATTAGAAGATCAACAGTCTGGCTGCAGGAAACATACAGTATTAAAAAAAGACATAGCTGACCAATTTTATTCTTACAAAGAACCCATCTGCTGTACCTACACTCCAAAATACTCAGGATAAAAACTGTTTTACTTGAATGTTACACTGGTATTTAACAATGGGATACAACTATGTCTAAACTTGTACTCTCAGAACTATATATGGATTGTTAATATCCCATGTTACCCTCAAAGGGGTTATTTTTCCTGATTAAAATAAAGAAAAACAGGGCTCAGTTAGAAGTGTTTTTTGCTGCAGCAAACTGTCTACATGAAAAAAGAGCCAACATCAATTCTATCTTTAAGAACTAGTTGAAGCTCTGATCTATGCACTATTCATGAATGTATTTCTACTTATTTCATGTCAGTTGCCCATTAGATTAGCTTATTTTATTAAGTATCCAATCCGTAAACCTGCAACCCTCCCCCACCACTTTTAAAACTAAAAATAGCACATTTACTATGGTGTAGACTATGAACAGTCACGAGTTGTTGCCTGCTGTTGTAAACTTGCCTTATGTCAGTGTTGTGCCCATTTTGTGTACTAAGTTAATTAAAACCAATCCATTTCCACAGTGACACTCTCGCAGCATACACAAAGCCTTAGTTTTCCAAAGACACATATAAGAAAGAGAGACTTTTCATGAAGTCTCAGTAAGTATTTAAGTACCATTGTGTTGTACTTTTCAAGTTGGATTAACAAAACAAACTCCAATTGTTTATGTCTTGTATTATTTGCTTTTTACTCTCCCCCACCCCAGCTCCATGCTTATTACTCAGCTCAAAGTACTGCAGGCTACAGAAGAGTCAACACATTTGACATTAATATTTTTAAAGTACACAGAATATATTCAAAGGTTCCATTACAATTAGTTGTATCCAAACTACACTATAACATCTTGCCCATCCAAACAACTAGCCTAATATACTTTTCAATGAAACTTGCCTATACATGTTCATTTTATTCTTTTTATTCTTTTGATTCATTTTATTCTTTTGATCATGTGTCAAAATCACATAAACAAATATCTCCATACTTCATCAGTACCATTCTTGTAGTGATTCATTTTAATGATCTATTGGGCTCCCATACCATCATGGATGACAGAAGATCTACCTGTTCTCTTAGTAGGAAGTTTAAAGTGGACTAGGCCAGAAAAATAGGGCCTTGGTTTCACCACCTCCATCACTTCATTTGCTAGATCTACTTCCTCCCCCACATTTCCCTCTCTTCCATATTAAACTGCGACAGGATAATCTGTGGCAGAAATTGCTTTACCCAGGAGAAATATGGACCAACACACACAAAGTGCTGGCTTCTTTCTCTTGGGCATACAATGTGTCCTAAAATAAACAAGTCTGCCAGGGCTACTATTTTCATCAGCACAATCCTAGATCCCCTCAGCATCGTAATCCCCCACTAAAAGATTTTATCCGACTTCACTTCGGCTGTGATAATAGGCAATGCAAAGCATTAATAACAGTGTCATCAAACCCCTGCCCCCCACGCCAAATCAGGGTTTCTCCCAACAATCAGCTTTTCCTGGTAGCCCAAAAGAAGAAGAAAGCAGAGTTACTGTGGGCAGAGGAAAGAAAGCCTCATCATTCGTAATCGACCGTCCACCTGGGACGATTTAACCCCAAATATTTGGGGGGGGGGGGGGAGACTGTGCTCGGCTCGGCCGACTTACTTGAGGCCCAGTCCGTGAAGGTGCTGCCCGATGAGCCGGATCACGTCCTCATCGGACTGGGAGAGCCGCTTCTTCTTCTTCAGGGCGCTGCCGCCGATCCCGACACCGCTGCCTCCCCCCATCTCGGCCACGGACCCCCCGGGGGCCGAGACCCCGTTGTTGACACTCAGCCCGCCGCCTCCACCCCCGCCGCCGTTGTTGTTGGCTGAAGACAGCAACCCGTTGGCATGAGCCAGCTGCTCCCCAGCGGTCGAGCCCGACGAGGCCTCGCCGTTTTGGGCGCTGAGGCAGCCCAGCTCAGGACCCTGCGACGTCGACGACGGCGGCGGCTGTTGCTGCTGCCCCCCTCCTGCCCCGTTGGCCTGCATGGCGTTGCTGCTGCTCGTGCTGGTGCTGACGGCGCTCCCGCTAGCCCTGAGGGGGTTGGCAGCTGGGGGGGCGAGCCCGGCGGAGAGCGAGGGGGACGGGGACGAGGTGAGGCCTGCTCTGCCCGCAGAAGCCCCGGGCTCTCCTGCTCCCTCCGCCGCCGCCGCCGGGGAGGCCCGCGCTTTCTTCCGCGGAGGCGGGGAGGCTCCGCCGGTGTCCGAGTCGGAGGAGAGGGTAGGGTGGGATGGGGGGGAGGTGACGGGGGGTAAGGAGCGGGGGGGGGTCTGTCCCTCTCCCCTGTGTCTCTCAGGAGGCAGCGGCAGCCGCCGGCTCCAGGGTCCTTCCAGCTGACGCTGCCCGAACCCCCCTTAGCCTGGCAGCCCCAGGCACCGGGCCCGCTCCTCTCCACTAGCCGCTGGGTTTGTGGCTTCTCTGCCTAGCTGCAGCCTAATGGAGTCCGGGCCGGGACGTCACAGGAAATTCCTATACTGCCCCCTACACTCACTTCCGCTGCTTCCTGGGGTAGACTTGGAGTGTGGAGGCTGTGGGGCAGTCTGGGGCAACTGGCAACAGGGTCTATGGCCGCTCTCGACAGCACCCCCAGCCGGGTGGGCATACAGGGGGGGGGGGGGGGGGGGGGCGTTTGTCATAACACCTGTCTCTGTGTGCAGCTGGGCTGGCTATTATTCCACCTTGCTTAGCTCATATGCCCATATAGGGAGAGGCTACGGGCGTGTATTTATTTCTGTCTCGCTCTCATTTGTACTGGATCTTAAAAGCTGTACATAAACAGGAACTAAAATGTTGGCCAGCGGTTCCGTATTTGCATAACTTTGAAGTGGTAGTTCTTCTATATTCCACCATTACTAGCTGTTTAGAGAGAAAAGTTTTCGTCCTGAATTTCTTCTTCATAGTTGTAAAGAGATAAACTTTAATTTGATAATCAAACTCTGTACACAAAAATGTGTTAGAACAAAACACGCGCACACACACACACACAAAACCACCCTAGTTCATTGTTGCAGAAACAAAACATTTTCCAGCCTTACATAAAATAAACACAAAATAAATCAGTTTTGGTGGTTGAGAAAATTGAGAACTGCACATACAAAGAGCAAAATATAGTAAATGAAATGCAGAATAGGAAAAAATTAAATGGCAGGAAATGGCCACAGGACAGGGTTGCCAGCTCTGGGTGGAGAACTACCTGGAGATTTGGGGGGTGGAGCCAGGGGAGGGCAGGGAGCTCAGCAGGACACAGTGACACAGACTCCAGTCCACCCTCAATAGCACTGATTTCCACCAGGTGAACTGATCTTTGTTGTCTGAAGATCAGTTGCAATCCCAGGAGATCTCCAGCCACTACCTGGAGGTTAGCAACCATACTGCAGGGTAAGGGATAGGCCTGGCATTGTTTGTCATGTGTTAAAATGAATACTTTAATGCTGGGAAAATGCATTAAAATTAAATTGAAACTATTTAAATGTGAAAAGGATAGTGTGAGCATGAGGGTAGAAGTAATCTGACGTTGTTGTTGTTGTTCAGTCGCACAATCGAGTCCGACTCTTCGCGACCCCACAGACCACATCACGCCAGGCCCTCCTGTCTTCTGTCGTCCTCCGGAGTTTGCTTAATTTCATGTTCGTTGCATCGATAACACTGTCTAACCATCTCATCCTTTGCCGTCCCCTTCTTCTTTGACCTTCAGTCTTTCCCAGCATCGGGGTCTTCTCCAGCGAGTGCTCCCTTCTCATTTGGTGGCCAAAGTATTTGAGCTTCAGCTTCAGTATCTGGCCTTCCATAGTAATCTGACATTACTATGACATTATACATGCTATTCAATAGATGCTTGTGACATTCACACAAACACATCAGTGCAGCAATAATTATCTCTCCAAAAGCACTATTGGGAGTAATAGTTTCCCCCCCAATGATAAAATGTCATTTGACTAAGAAAGCCATCTTGAAGAAAAATGCTTTAAATTAACACAAAATATTAATAATGTTTTATTTATGGAATTAAAAATTGATTCTTTGGAAAGGACCTAACTGTCCAGAAGGAGAATCACCATCTTCAATTATGCCGAGGAGGAAGGCAATAGGGAACCAGTGGAACTGGGCGAGCCAGTTTGGTGTAGTGGTTTAGTGCGTGGACTCTAATCTGGGAGAACCGGGTTTGATTCCCCACTCCTCCACTTGCACCTGGCAGGATGACCTTGGGCAAGCTGTAGTTCTGATAAGGCTGTCCTTGAAAAAGAGCAGTTTCTGTCAAGAGCTCTCTCAGCCCCACCTACCTCACAGGCAGTGTTCCCTCTAAGCTGATTTAGTGTGAGCTAGCTCACAGTTTTTTAGCCTCCGGCTCACATATTTTTGTCTTAGCTCAGGAAGGATGGCTCCAGAGCCAACTAATTCATGCAGTATCCAAATCACTCGCTCACAACTTTAATGCCAGTAGCTCACAAAGTTGCATTTTTGTTCACAAGACTCCACAGCTTAGAGGGAGCACTGCTCACAGGGTGTCTGTTGTGGGGAGGGGAAGGGAAAGGAGTTTGTAAGCCGCTCTGACACCTTTGGGTAGTGAAGGGCAGGGTATAAATCCAATCTCTTCTTCTCCTGGTGGGTCACTGTTACATTCTACTCCATCTGACATCTCCAAGCTACTGTCTAGAGCAGTGGTGGCCAAACTTGCTTAATGTAAGAGCCACATAAAATAAACATCAGATGTTTGAGAGCCGCAAAACATCAACAAATATTGCACACACATTTTTGTCGGAAAATATGCAAATTTGCTTTTTATTAACATTAAATGAGACTGCCAATAATAAAAACAAAAGGGGTAAAAACAGTTATTGATAATGATATTTATTTGTCCAATGATATTTGTTTGCTAATTATATTTATTTGTCAAAGAGAGAGAGAGAGGTGGAAAGAAAAAATGAAAG